AAATACCCAAGGCAATACTTAGTAAAAAGAACAACACTGGAGGTATCATAATATCTGACTTCAAACTATATTACAAAGCAATAGCAATAAAAACAGCATGGTACTGGCACAAAAACAGACATGAAGACCAGTGGAACAGAATAGAGAACCCAGATATGAAGCCACACAACTATAATCAACTTATCTTTGACAAAGGCGCTAAAAATATACGATGGAGAAAAGACAGCCTCTTCAAAAAACTGCAAAAAACTGAAACTAGATCTATGTATATCACCCTATACCAATATTAACTCAAAATGGATCAAGGATCTTAATATCAGACCCCAAACTCTAAAGTTGGTACAGGAAAGAGTAGGAAATATTTTGGAACTAATAGGTATAGGCAAGGACTTTCTCAATGGAACCCCAGCAGCTCAGCAACTAAGAGATAGCATAGATAAATGGGACTTCATAAAACTAAAAAGCTTCTGCTCAAAAAAAGAAATGGTCTCTAAACTGAAGAGAACACCCACAGAGTGGGAGAAAATATTTGCCAGCTATACATCAACAAAGGACTGATAACCAGAATACATAGGGAACTCAAAAAACTAAATTCTCCCAAAATTAATGAACCAATAAAGAAATGGGCAAGTGAACTAAACAGAACTTTCTCAAAAGAAGAAATTCAAATGGCCAAAAAAACACATGAAAAAATGCTCACCATCTCTAGCAATAAAAGAAATGCAAATTAAAACCACACTAAGATTCCACCTTACCCCTGTTAGAATAGCCATCATTAGCAACTCCAGTAACAACAGGTGTTGGCGAGGATGTGGGGAAAAAGGAACCCTCTTACACTGTTGGTGGGAATGCAAACTAGTACAACCACTCTGGAAAAAAATCTGGAGGCTTCTTAAAAATCTAAACATAGATCTACCATATGATACAGCAATACCACTCTTGGGGATATACCCAAAAGACTGTGACACAGGTTACCTCAGAGGCACTTGCACACCCATGTTTATTGCAGCACTATTCACAACAGCCAAGTTACGGAAACAGCCAAGATGCCCCACTACTGACGAATGGATTAAGAAAATGTGGTATCTATACACAATGGAATTTTATGCAGCCATGAAGAAGAATGAAATGTTATCATTCGCAAGTAAATGGATGGAACTGGAGAACATCATTCTGAGTGAGGTTAGCCTGGCCCAAAAGACCAAAAATCGTATGTTCTCCCTCATATGCAGACATTAGATCAAGAGTAAAACACAACAAGGGGACTGGACTCTGATCACATGATAAAGCGAGAGCACACAAGGCAGGTATGAGGATAGGTAAGACACCTAAAAAACTAGATAGCATTTGTTGCCCTCAATGCAGAGAAACTAAAGCAGATACTTTAAAGCAACAGATGCCAATAGAAGGGTACTAGGAACTAGAGAAAAAGTTAGTTCGAGAAGAATTAATTTAGAAGGTAACACACATGTACAGGAAATCAATGTGAGTCAACTCCCTGTATAGCTATCCTTATCGCAACCAGCAAAAACCCTTGGTCCTTCCTATTATTGCTTATACTCTCTCTTCAACAAAATCAGAAATAAGGGCAAAATAGTTTCTGCCTGGTAGAAAGGGGGGTAGGGGGGAGAAATGACCCAAATATTGTATGCACATATGAATAAAAGAAAAAAAAAAGGCTTTGGGTTTGATCCCCAGCACTGCAAAAAAAAAAAAAAAAGTTTTCAAGATATTATTACTGATTACTGATTTCTTTGAGGTTGGCTTTTTGTATGTAGGACTGGATTTCCTCCACAAAATAACTATATTTTATTTTATTTTTCAAATTCTGAGGATCAAACCCAGAGCCTTGCATACAGTAGGCAAGTTTTCCACCACTGAGCTACATTCCCAGCCTGATAACCACCATCTTAAAATTCCAGACTAGTGGCATGGCTCAAGTGGTAGAGTGCCTACCTAGTGAACTGACGGTACTGGGTTCAACCTCCACAACCCCTCCCCACCCATAGATTTCAATTATTATTGGTACAATATTTAAAATATCATTGAAATTTTTAACTACTAACTTTATCATCTGTGTGACATTGGGGAAAATTCATTTCCTTGTGCCTCAATTTCTTCATTTATAAAGTAAAGATCATAAAGTGAACTTCCTCACAGGATTAAATTAGTTAAACATGGAAAGTGCTTTGAAAGTGGTCCCTTTGTGGAAATCTCTCAACAAGTGTCAATTGCTGCTGCTGTAATAGTCTGACTGTTTCAACAAATTTATATGTTGAAACCTAATCCCCAACATGGCAGTGCTGAGAGGAGAGAACGTTTGGAAATGATAAGGCACAAGGCTCCAGCATGGTGAGTGAGGTCATCACCCTCATAAAAGAGATCAAAGGGAGCATGTCTGCCCGTTCTGCCAAGTGAGAGCACAGCTTTCCTCACCTCAGCCACAAGGACACAGCAAGAGGTGCCATCTATAAAGCATGTGAGCCTTCGCTAGACACTGAATCCCCGGGTGCCTTCATCTTAAACTTATCACAATAGAAATAAATTTCTATTTATAAATTATCCAGTCTAAGGTATTTTGTTATAGCAGACTGAATGGAATAAGACATTATCATTATTAATAATTACTCTGGGGAATTCACATTCCCAGAGTAAAGCTGTATCTGTACAAACTAATTTAACTCTCAAAAGACATGACTGCATACTGGATGATTTTCATGTGTGAAAAGTCCACGTCCAATTCAGTGAAAGAAATGACCCTGATCATCCTATAACTGTGAGTCCAGTTCAAGTCTTGGCAGAGATGGAATGATTAGTACGATGGGACCTGACCTTCTCTTTTACCCATGTGCCACCACAGCCAGGGCACCTGTGCCTTTCTGTGCACTGTTACATCTACAAGGCTCTTTCGACTCATGGATGAGACTGCACAATTCAGGAGGAATCAGGCAGTTGCTGCTTTTATTTCAGAAGAAGGCATGGGGCACAGAGTGTGTTTTGCTTTATCCATAAACACAATGAATTACAGGTCAACATTTAAAAACTCGGTCCAAGCATTTTTGCCTTACAGCAAGCTGTACAGTGTCTCGTGTAAACCCCACAATTAAACTCTGACTGTTCACCTGTGATGGTTATTCTATTGCTGACAGCAGTAGCTTTGGAAAGAGGTAAAGGTAAGGAACAGCATAACAATGTTTAGTCACTAGGCATTCTACTTGATGTTCCTCAATCCCTTCCCACCTACGGTGGCTATGCTTTATGCTAATTTTCACTTATTGCATGCTCTCTGCCCCCATACATGGCTTTGACAAAACACAAGCCTTAGGAGAAAAGAGGGAGGAACAGGAGTGAGGTTGGGGCGTGCATTGCAAATGTTCTCGTCAAGTTCACCGTCCCTGAGAAGCCCCACTTCCTCTGGGCAGAGAGCATGGGTACAGGTCAGAGAGGTCTGGGCAGTGCAGACTCTTGACAAGAGCATCAGCCCCACAGAAGAGAAATTTAGGTGACAGCCATAGCACCACATGGAAGGGCACAACAGGGATGGTTTAGAGAAAGTAAGGAAAGAAAGTTTGTTTCTCTAAAACAAACAAAAAAATGTCTATGTATATGATGGGGACTTCATTCACAGTTCCATCTTGGCCATTAGCTATGGTTGGCTTGTCTCATGAGTTATCCAGAGGCAAGTTATACTACCCTTCTCCTAGCAACACCTCAAGATCCTTTGTTTGGTTTCCCTGCATTCTGACCTCAGAAGAAACTGTACTTATTTTTCAAAGGAAAAAAAATGTAAAGATGTTTCCCAAAGTAAGCTCTCTTTGGAACTCTTGACCTTTCCTTTTTTTCTTAAATAGACACTTCCTGCCTTTCTACTATGATGCCTTCTATTATTTACAAATATTAAAGTCAGTTTTTTCAACACTTAGGATAACTTAGAATCCTAAATATAAATGGGAACATAATACCTTTGCAGATCAAATGAAGACAAAAGGACTTGTCAAGGGAAAAGCACTGATGAGGGAGCCCCAAGGGTATGGAAACAAGAAAGCTGTCTGAGAGTTAGATCAGAAGTCAACATGGAGTGGATGGTGGCACAGAGAAGCAAAGTCATGTTGAGGACACAGGACAGGTCCTGGGTGGCCAAGACTCCATGATAATTTGGTTGAGTATGTTGATACACTGAAAGTAGATCTGGTGAGAAAACTGAAGGAAAAGCCAGGTAATGAAAGAGTCCACCCAGACACAGCCCCATGAGGGAGAATCCTGGCCCACAGTTAAGGAAATCCAATCTGTGGCTGGTCCATGTGTTGGAAGTGCACATAGAATGATGGATGGTTAGAAGCAAGGGTTGGAGTGAAATGTTTCTTTCCTGTTCCTTACTTCTTAACTCTGCAATGCTGTAAGTTACCCATTTCTCTGTGTCTCAGTTTCCTTTTCTGGATAATGAGGCTAATAATCAAGAAGATGTGAGGACTAAATAATCTATATGAATACCTGGCACTGTACCTAACACAGCAGAGGGAGAGAGAGAGAGAGAGAGAGAGAGAGAGAGAGAGAGAGAGAGAGAGACACACACACACACACACACACACACACACACACACACACTGATTGCTGCTATAGTTCAGGTGGATTTATCAGGTCATTACAGCCTAATGTCACTGAGCATACCATCCTCCACCCATCTGCCTTCCCTGCTCTACTTCTAGTCTCATCAATAGCAATTTTATTAATTGGCTTCCCTATCCCCATATCAGTACCAAGAGAACACACTGGTCATATTGTCCAAATACTGGGATCCACACAGTGGCTGTGACTCTGTATGACACTGAGTGTTTGGGAATTCAGATGTACAGACCAGTCTCCTAGAGATGTGTTCACCAAGTCTCCAGGACTCAAAGATGGTGATGATGGCCTGAGTGCATCCGTTCCGGCCCCAACCCTGCCTTGGCATCACCTTGACCTTTGCCTAGACATGCTACCCCTGGCCAAGCACATCTTACCTGTGACATGGAGCTTTTCATCGCTGACCTCGGCCTTCAGGTAAATCCGCCCCCTCTTCTCTGTGTGATCCATTCCACAGAGGCTGGGGACGTTTATCACACACTGCTTGTGAACATTCATGTCGCAGGCTGTGAATCAAGAAAGCCAAGGGTAAGGCTGGCCATATGGACTGACAGTACTTCCTCTGTGTTTTTGGTATATGCACAGACGTGGGAGTGAGTTACCCCCTAACTTGCTACTTTGCTATAATGTTTTTGGTGACATAAAGGACTGTTAGCAGATGTCCTTTCCAGCATAGGCTTCGTGTGAGTGACAGTATCCTAAAAATATTCATTCCATATTTGCTCAGTCTTCACCAAACTAAAATACCTCAGTTGTTCTTCTGTAACCATTTCAAATATTTAACAAAATCCACTCAGGTAAATGTGTACAAAGCTCAGACTAATTAAGTTTATGTACACACAAGCATATAATATGCAAATTTTAAACAGAGGATACTTTTTGCCAAAGAATTCCTTCTGCCTTTCTGAGCTCACTACTGAGAAAGTGACAATCTGTGGGCTGAGTATAGGAAAGTTAAAAAAAATTTTTCTTTTCCTCAACTAACCCAGTATTTTCAAGAAGGTGTAAGTACACTTTTTTTTTAAGAACTTGTGTTTGATATTTTAAACCTGTCTTCAATATTTAAATATTATTCCAAGTAAAACAAATACACGCCTGGCATAAGCCATTTCTTACAGCTGACATTATGTGGGTGAGACGGGCGGAGGATAAAAAAGATCAGTCTTATTGCAATGAACCAAAGCAACCCTGAAAAGAACTCCAAAAGCTGACTGCAAACATGAAATTGTGTAGGAGTTTAAGCTCTACCCTCCTGCTACCTTCAGGCTTCCTGGAGGGAAGGATGGCCGCTGGGATTTCACAAACCCTCCCTGGGATGCTAACAAAGTCATTCTACAGTCTTCAAGGTGGAGCCTTCCTATCCTTTTCATTTCCAGTATTTGATTTGAAGATGACAACGTAAACTGATCAGTGGTTTATGAAATTTTTTTAGTAGTGGAACCAATTTTTCAAGCAGAATCCTAATATGTAAACAAGATGAGTGTTATTAGCACAAATTTAGTTAATAAATTCAAATTTATACCATTTAGTTATTATAAGGACAGCCAGTAAAGCCAAACAAAATCCTAAAACAGCTGTTAAGGATGCTAGTTGATATTGCTAGGGTATGTCCCTCAAAAGTTTGTATGTTGGACACTTACCCCCAAATGCACATGATAATGGTATTTGGAGGTAGGACCTTTGGGAAGTCATTAGGATTAGATGAGATTGTGAGGGTGGGGCTCCCAGGATGGCATTTGTGGCTTTGTCAGAAGAAGCAGCAAGATCTGGTTTGGCAGCTTGGTCTGTCTTTCCACATGAGGCCTCTGCCATGTTATGATGCAGCACCAAGCCCTCAGCACATCCAGAAACACAAGGGCATATGCCTTATCAGCCCAGTAGGCCCCTCAGTTGAGTGGATGTGACAGGAGACACTTGATTCTGAGTTCTGCCCAGGAGTGAGGATGGCAATATAACCTCTCCAGTGCCTCACTTGGTCAAGGTTGCATGGAAGTAACACATTCAGGTGTTCATTTTTGTTCCGGGTTTTAAAATAGTTAAAGGTATATTTATAAATGCACTTAGAATTAGTACTTGTAGAGACCCTGAAAACTGAATCTTTGGAATCCCAGGGTTTCTTGAAACATATAAGGCCACTGGCCTGGGAGATAACAAAGTTTACATTAGGCTGTTAAACTGTATAACTTTATGAGGAAGGTCAATTCCTGTGTTCTGAGAAACTCTATAATACCCTCACATATATTAATTTTTTATATATTGTGTTTGTTCCATGTAGGATATAAATACAATACTTTGGCCACTGTAATAGTCATTAATGAATGAGACCATGCTGCAGGTTCCATAATATCTGCCTGTCTATTAGAAAAACAGGCTTTGCCATTGCCTTTTCATGTCCTAAGAACATAAACTTTTATTCAAATGAATAGCCTGGGGAATCTCATAATTTAAGAATTAGCAAAGCAGAGTTTCCACAGTTGTTTTTCTTTTCTCCCGGCATTTGTTGGAGATGGAAATGAGACAAAAGAGGAGGATGGAAAAGGACTCCTGTCCTTCTTGTCAGAGGTCCTTGGTGATTTCATCTTGAGCTGGTCTGCTCTAAATCTGATCTGTTTATGAACAGGCAGGATGAGTGAACTTAAGTAAGATGCTATCCTGGTTTTTATGTTCATTTTAGCTCCAGTTTTAAGGAGAGCCTCCTGGATTTTTCCATAGTCCACCCACTAATTAGAGACATAGAAAGATAATGACTGTGGTTGCTTAGCTTATTTTTTGAAGCCAACCAAATGTGGAATCTGGAGGTGGGGAGTTTTCTTTGGGGTTTGACTAGCCTGCATTTTATAAGGATTGAAGATTTCTCCCATTTAAAAAAAACAAAACAAAACTGACAGTACCCACTTACTTCATTTATAAACCAAGTGCTTTTTTGGCTCATAATTAGGCAAGTAAGTAGTTTAATAAGCCAGAACTTGGACAGAGGAGAGATTCTACACTGTTCAATTTGGTCTGCATCTGAACCAATTCTCTCTCTTGATGAATTGGTGTTGAGAAGTTACCAAACCTTCAGCACTCAGTAAATCTGGGCATAAGCTGCAGAGCTTCACTATCTACTGGAAAAGAAAACTTACTTACTGTCACATTTCATCCCTTGGTGGATAAGTCCATACAGCAGCGATCCACAGTGATCACAGAAGGTGGGGCTTCCATAAGTGTGGATTTTAAATTTGTGCTTGCTTCTGGGATCCTGCAGAGAGAAGTACAATGCTCATTCCAGGCATGAAAAGGCCACAGTTTTGGATTAAGTCAAGCTCATACCCCATATCTACTGTCAAGGTTCAGTAACACCAGACTTTGTACTATTCTCTAAAGTCATACGATGGGTGTCCATGACATTGCCATGTCAGATTTCAGTGTAACAAATACCCATGTTTCCTCTCTTCGTGGGGTGTAATTTGCACATACCATCGTAATGTTTCCACCAAAGCTATCACTTCTGCTGGGTGCTTATGCAGTTCTCTGTCCCCCAGGCACCTAGCAAGCTGAACTGAATAACCCTCGATCTGGATCCTTTGGGAAATCTCTTGTACAAGTTTTCCAGACGCACAATACGCTGTGAAACCAGATATATGCCCAACCTCACAGGATCAGAACTGCTTCTAAAGTATTATGAACATTGGATGGGGACACTCCAGCGTGGTTAGATAAAAAGTGGAAATGCACCAGAATTACACTTCCTCTATCACTGCCACAAATTCATTACCTTTTCTAGCAGACCCCACAATGTGCGACGGTACCACTAGACATCTGTTTTCCTAAGTAAAGTCTGTGTTCCTCAATTCACAGATAGATTACACACAGGGATACAAAAACTCTCTATAATAGGCCATAGTGGCTCAGAGCCTGGATTCTGGAATCTCTCTGGATTCTGCTATTTTCCAGAAGCATGAACCTGGACAAATGATTTATCTTTTCTGCCTCAAGTGCAAACTGGAGAATCAATAATACCTGTCTTATGTGGTTGCTGTGAAGACAAAACAAGTCAATCTGTAAAATGCTTAGAGGGCTGCTTATGCAGGCCGAGTGTTGTGTAGATAGAGTAGGCAAGCTTTCTGGCTTCTTAGGCCCCTGTCAACCAGCCAAGGAGAGGGCTGAATCAAATGATCATTTTGCTTTATTTGAATTACAAAACAATTTCATACTCAACAGGTATACATGAGGAACCATCATCACTAAATGCTTCCTCCCAAATCACTCTGTGGTTTGAGCAGCTATAAAGATGGTTGAACCAACTCAATTAAGGAAGACCACATTGGGGTAGGGTTTGGAGAGAGACAGGAGACCAATAACTCTGTTTAGATACATTAACCCTGAGCTCCTCTGTAGTTCAGGGTTTCTCAAGTGCAAAGAGACACTAAAAAGGATGTCCTTGGCTTTGACTTTCTAAGGACCTAGGTACCAGTGACCTAAGAAGATTACAAAGGTGATATTTGACTTTATAAGATAATTTGCCTTTGGTTGGCTTTGGAACCTAAAAGCTAAGTCACATATATGCTAATGAGTGAATATGACTACTTTTTAAAGGCATAGACTAGAAAATTCTGAAATACTTCAATCATGCAGGTAAGTCTAAAGAACAGCAAAGAAAACCCTCATGGTGCACTACTTGGATTTAATAGAGGTGAGCAAGTCTCCCTGTTTTTCACTGTAATATTACTACCCTCATTTTACAGAGATGTGAATGACCTTTCCAAAGACACAAGGCTCATGAGTCAGAGTTGAGATTTGACCACCATCTGATTCTTTTCTTAAGAGCTTTCAAAGATCTACCCAGAATGAGGATCTGGCTCTTACCATATTTTTTTCATTTTTATATTTTCAACACAAATTTTTTGGAAACAAGTCAACCACCTGTTTTATAACTAAAATTTTATTGGTACACAGTCATGCACATTGAGTGGCATAGTTTCTGTGTCTACAATGGTGGAGTAGAGTTCTTGTGACAGAAGTAGTGTGGACCACAAAGCCTAAAATATTTACTATCTGGCCTTTTCAGGAAAAGTTCATCTATCACTACTTTAGGACAATGGTTTTGAACATGCCATCCCTACACAGCATCACATCACCTGGAACCTGTTAGAAATACAAATTCTTTAGCTTCTCCCCAAACCACCTAAATCAGAAACTCTGGGGGAAGAGCCTTTTAGGCAAAGTTTTTCAGGCTCTGCACGTGATCTAAGATTGGCAGGTATATTAAAGACTAAGAACCACCATTTTAGAAGGTCATTCAACATCCATTTATTGAGTACCTAACAGGTACTAGCTGACTAACAATATTCCTGCAGCAGGTCACTAGTTTGCCTTCTAAATGTCTCCTTCAGTGTGTAAAAAAAAAAAATTCTCCTTGAGAAACTATTTTCCTGAGCAAGTAGTAGCTGTGAAGATGGAGTGATGTAAAACCTCAGATTTCCACTATTCAAACGGCCCTCCAATTTCCCCATAGCCCAGACATGAGGCAGAATGCTAAAGAAACAGGGTGGCGTCAGCACCAATTAACAGTACCCATGTTGACAGGAAAGGTTGCATCCTACACGGTGAAGGGCAAAGAAGATGCTGGGGGAAAGAAGCAACCAGTTTCTCTGCAGAAATGAGGCATCAACAATTGGCAGTAAATGAAGGATGGCAGCTCACTCTGAGCTCTCTGGAATATGTGCAGGCACGGCAGCCCCAGGGTGGCTGTCATGCCAGTCGATTGTCACACAGATCTCTACTGACATGGCACACAGCAATGTGCTTCACTTTTCAGGAGAATCTCCACTCTTATTCTTCCTACACTCATATACATCTTCGGGCACAGTTGGGTTGGGAGGTGTAAGAAAAGAGGAAGCCATTGCTTCCACCTCCTGCATAAGTCTGCAGAATCACCAACGCCCAGAGTCTTTCACTTCTGAAATTCACATGTGGCCACGGATGCTGCTTATGACACAACAATCGTTAACACCATCATCTGTCTGTTGATTATCCAGCGTGTGCAGATGCTTTACAATACCTAAGATCACTGTTGAGAACAAGAGTCTCTTGAGAAAAGAATATTTACCAGCATTCTGGAGACCTGCATTCTGACTCCAGCCCTGACATAAACTCTGCAACCTTGAAGAAGTCATGTCACTTACTTATAAAGCAGAAGTAAAACCAGTCTGCCCTAAGGGTGAGGCTCAATTCAAGGAGCATATGAGAAAGGTTTACAAATGCAAGAGATTATCACATTATCCTTGGAAGTAAACTTTGAGGTGGCCAAGGTTTCTCCCTCAAGATGTCAGTAACTTGGGTCTGAAGAGAGGAACAGAAACGGTAGGCAATGTCAGTCCTCACTGGTAGTCAGGGTGGGAGCCACAAAGGCAGAAGGCAGGGGACTTTTTCTTCGGTCCAGCATTCCTGATCCCTGTACCTGTGCCTGGCCTTCTAAGGAAGTCACTTGGTAATCACCCTAAGTGGTGACTATGAAACTGCCCACTGCCCAGACCATCCTATGCACTGTCCCCACTGTCAGGATGACTCAGTCACCTGTACCATAGAAGTGGAAGGCAGGAATATGGAAGCTCTCCCAGTCTAATTAATCTCACCCAGTCTGACAAAAGAGCACAGTGTTCACTAAAGAGCTGTGTGTGACTCATGATTTGCAGAGAGCCAGTGGAACTAAAAATCTCCCAGGCTCTCTGTTTCTATCAATAGCAACTAAAGACAATGCATTTTACTTCTTTGGGCCTTGATTCTTCATCTGGACCCTGAAGGTATGGGAATGGGAACAGCATTTTTAAACAATACTTCACCAAGCCCTAAGGTTGCCAGGAGGTGCCTGAGGCTGCTGAGGAAAGGGGATAGAAGAAAGAAAAAGAGGGAGGCCACTGCTAACATGAAAGTGAAAAACAATTGCACTTGATGGCCTCTTAGATTTTGTCTTGCTATTAAAAACAAAACAAAAACGTTTTTACTTTGAAATCATTTAAGACTTGCAAGAATTTGTAAAACTAGCATGGCCTGTTCCTGTATGCTCTTCATCCAGCTTTCCCCAGTGAGAATATCTTATATAACCACAGAAAGTTAGCAGAACCAGGGCATTGCTATTGCTACACCACCAATCAAACTACAGATTTCAGGGCTCACTAGATTTCCCATGCATATACCAAGGCAAGGATTTTCATTGTAAAACTTACGAATTAAATATAACGTATACTGAGTATGGAATACAGTAATGTTTGCTGGGTAGATATCACTAACTCAAGGAGAACGGCACCAAAAGAACATCTACTTGTTCATGAAATCCATAGCCTACTATGGATCTCACACGATGGGGTAGTGGGAGGATGAGCCCAATGATCCATCCAAGAAGTAGCATCAGAAAACTCTTCTCTAAGTATAAGAAACACATGTTGTTCCCAAAGTCTTCTGACCAGTTTTCCACAAGAAAGTCATTTCAAGGCCCAGGCTGGCAAAGGGCTCAGTCAGGTGTGCAGTCAGCCTGGGTCATGACAGACTGAAAGTTGTGACAGCTGTGGGTTTCCAGGTAGTGGTGGAACCTGTAGGGAAAGACAGACAGCAGAATCCCAAGACATGAACTGTTCCCCATTGGCCAGAGAGCAGGTTTTGTGATAGTCGCCCAATAAATCATGGCAATGACTCCTGGTGTCCAGAAGGCTCTGGATAGCCAGGAGATGGGTGGAGAGAAGTGGGTCCTGGAGAAGTTGAAGCTTAGGTATGCCCATGTCCACTTGTCCCTGATCCTCAGGTTCTGAGTTGCCCTGGAACTCTCTTTTATATTCATAAGCCTTGGAACCCAAGCCTTCAGTTGGGTGCAGTCCCCTAGGCTTCTTTCCCCATGTCTTCATGTGTGGTGGCTTCCACCTGCCATAGCCATCTTGTGTCAAGACTCCACCAGCTGGAACACCTACCGAGGCAGCAAGTTCCCACCTCCTCAGGAAGCTGCTCCAGATGTCGCTACCAGATTCAATTCTTCTTCCCTGGCTGACCTTCCCGAGCATTCTACTCTGTCTTCTACATGCTACTTACTTCATTCTTCTACTCATGATAATGACTTATTCTGTCTACTTCCCTTTCATTTTTTCATCACACACCCCCCCACACACACTGACCTGACACTAAAAGAAAGGTCCTAATAGACACTGCTAAATTAGCAACTGTTTCAAAACCAAGAATGAACATGAAGTTTTAATGTTTATCTCTGAGTTC